GACAACAGTTTAGGTTTTTAAACAATGTCTTTTCAATTTTTTCCGTCAATTTTTTGACAGCATTTCTGGATTAAACATCCTCAAATTCATAATTCATCAAATCCACCCTAAGAGTTTAATTTAAACAAATAAAAATAACTTACACTTCTTGTAATGTTTGAGATTCCAAGCTGATGTTCCAGTTAGACAACCGATTATGACTCAGATCCCTAATGGAGGACGAAAGATCATTCTTAATTTAGTGTTGGAAAAGAGACTTAAAGAAAAAAAAAAAAACTAAACTAAAACATAATCTAAAAGCCCTATCAAATGTGAATTTGAATAGTACACACAAAAAGAAGAAATGTTTACAAAGCATGAATAAATACCTAGATTTTAAAATAGCTATTTTAACTTTTTCTTCATTTATATGAGGGGTTTTTTCTTCATTTATATGAGGGGAATATATTCACATGGTTCAATAATCAGAAAGTATAAAAAGAAATAAAGTTTAAATCTCCCATCCTGTCAGTCATATGATTTCCCTCCCCAAAAGCAACAAATGAAAATACACCATTTCTTGTGCAGCCTGCCAGATATTTTATGCATGCACCAGCAAATTTTTACAAAAATGGTAGAATAATTTACACACTAATTTGCCCTTAGTCTTTTCACTTAATAATACATCTGGGTAGATCATTCCACAGCAATATTAAAGAGTTCTTTCATCCCTTTTAGTGATTATCTTATAATTTTATTGTAATGGACTACACTGTATATATTTTTGAAAAAAATATACTTTTTAAAGTAACATACTGCATAACATATTGTAATATATAATATTGTAATGTACTGCATTATACTTTAGCAGTAAATAAAAGAAGATCGATTTTGGGCGCCTGGGTGGCTCAGATGGTTAAGCGACTGCCTTCGGCTCAGGTCATGATCCTGGAGTCCCAGGATCGAGTCCCACATCGTGCTCCCTGCTCGGCGGGGAGCCTGCTTCTCCCTCTCCCACTCCCCCCTGTTTGTGTTCCCTCTCTCGCTGTGTCTTTCTCTGTCAAATAAATAAATAAAATCTTTAAAAAAAAAAAAAAAGAAGATCGATTTCACAAGTCAAGATAGTGAGCTTCTATATTAGAACTGAGGTTGACCATATCCTCAATAGAGATACGGTCTTCCTAAAAAAAGCAATCTAGCTTTGGGGAAGAAAAATCCATCTCCAAATTATGTTAATGATGATGATTGGTGGTCAGGCACTCCTCTATGCACTTTATACATATTAACTGCCTAAATCCACACACTACCTTATGAGGCAAATACTTTTACAGTCCTCACTTGCCTAAGACAGAAACAGGCAGAGAGATTAATAATTTGTCAATCCAAGGTGGTTGGATTGTAGCTAGTAAGTGAGGAAGCCATAAACTTGAAATTCCATCTCACTTCTAGCAAGCAGTTTGTTAGATATAGCAGAGATTTCACTGAAATTAGTCATGAGTCTAAATATTTAAATAGGCTTTAAAAATTCACCTTGATGCTTCCTGGCATCTTTACAAGGCGGAAGTGGAATCCAGCCCACACAAGCTGTCTGCCCAAGAGACGTATTATACGTTACAATATGGCTAGCAATAGGGGCACACTAGAGAAACCTAACGGATCACTGTCTCTCACTGCGCCACCACGAGCAGCTGACAGATGCATGCAGGTCTGAGTGATGTCTCTATCAGAGAACAGTTTGCTCTCAGCCAGATTCATGTCTGTCCATCTGTAAAACTTAGCCACTTTCATTTAGGAGCTTAACTTACACCATAAGATAACTAAAGCCAGATGAAACCATCCCTTTTCCACAACAGTTCTAACACCTTTATTCCAAGATACATGGCACCAGGTATCAGCTCAAGAAAACTCATGACTAGGGAGGGGTATGCACTGGGAAATTTGAGAGATAAAAATAGGAATTTGCTCCACATAAAAACCTTATATTCAGATGCTTTCATCCAACTCACACTTGCTAGTAAACAACACTGGATTTTATACAAGTGAAAAGAGACTTACTGTGGCATTTCAACTAAAGAAATTCAGCTCTTGTAATTTAAGTTCAATAGTCCACATTCTGCTCCAAGGTGGCTGGTCTGGCAACTATCATCTATGTAGCAGGCTAGCATAGTATGATTTAATTCCATAGCTGATGCTTGCTAAAATTTCACTTCTTCCCTTCTACAGATTAAGAGCTTTCATTTTAATCATAACAGTGCTTCTAATGCCTTCCCAAACCCTAATCTCTCTGGCAATGTAACTCTTGACCATAATCATCTACAGTTCTCTCATGGATGGCAATGACCAGATAATCACTTTTGAAGAAAACTATTATTAAAGAAATCTAAAGCAATCAAGTTAACCCACCTTACACATGGTATAACCTACTTTGTATTAAGTATCAGTGAAAACTGTCCAGTGTCTCTACTGGGGGAAAGAGTAAGATTTTCTCTATCTCTTTGAAGAACCTCTAAAGGCTTTTTTTTTTTTTAAAGATTTTTATTTATTTATTTGACAGAGAGAGACACAGCGAGAGAGGGAACACAAGCAGGGGGAGTGGGAGAGGGAGAAGC